GCATAGTCCGCTAACTCCCACTCGGTGTCTATGTTCTTTATCCTGGATTCCTGATCCGCGATCACATTGTCTTTCGATTTTATATATGAAGCCGTTATCCAAATATTCCTTGATTCGCACCATCGCCAGATTTCTTTCGTAATCCTGTGCAGATTTGGGTGTTGTACGCCCCCCATTTTATTGATATATGCAATGGCTGTAGTATTATCTATACGCAGAAGAATTTCACAGTTCGTAAGATCTTTAACGAAACTTTTTAAGGCAAAAAAGCTTGCTTTTAGCTCTAATCTGTTGATGTGCCATTTTTGCTCTTCTACTGTCCAAAAACCTCGAGCTTTCTTCCCTTCGCAAAAAGCGCCCCACCCCGTGGTGGACGCGTCTGAAAAGATTTCGTGTTTAAAATTGCCGAATTTAATAGGGCTCGAGGCTTTTGGAATATTCTTTTTCCACCAGTCTATATCCGGCTTTAGACTTTTCGGAATGCGGATTTTTGGCTCAAAATCATTATTATTTCTCAACAAACCTAAATATCTGACACGTTCGAATTCTTTAGTGTACAGACGCCCGTATTCTACCGCCGGGCAACATGCATTAATCGAACCAATGAAACTTGACCATTGCCTGAGAGAAATGTCTTTATCTATCTTAAATTGCTCCAAGAGAGTGAGCATTTTTTGTTTCTTCTCTTCCGGTAATTTTAATGTCATTTTCTTGGAATCATATATGATTCCCAGAAATTCTACTCGCCGTCTAGGTTCTAGAATACTCTTTTTATAATTTATAATAAAGCCTAAGGATTCTAGCAGGCTAACCGAAGCCTTTACATTTTCCGCGCATGCCTGTTTTGACGATCCAATAAGCAACATATCATCCAAATATATGACCGAAGTAAAACCTCTTTTACGCAATTGATTCACCACTGGCTTTAAAATCTTAGTGAAGACATGCGGTGCCACATTAAGACCAAAGGGAAGACATACAAATTCAAAGCACTGACCCTGGAAAATGAATCTTAAGTATTTTGACGAACTCTCATCAACTGGAATTAAGAAATAAGCATTTTCTAAATCCAGATTGGCTAAAAAATCATTTTTTGAGATTAATCTTGTCGCTGTACGGCCATTCTCTAATTTAAAATGTCTGGTTTGAATAAATTCATTGAGCTTTTTTAGATTTAAAATGAATCTAAAGGTTCCATCGGATTTAGGGAGTAAAAAGTACGAGGATATAAACCGCGAATCCTTTAGATTACAAGGCCTAACGGTACCTAGCTTTAAGAGGTTCTTAATTGCTCCCCTGACATCCTCGAGGGATTGAGATCCTTGTAATATGGGCGACTCCGGTACAGAAGATTGAACCGGTTGTGCTTCAAATCTAATAGTGTAGCCTTTGATACAGTTAAGAACGAATCTGCTTTTGGTGATTCCTTCCCAGTTCTCCTGAAACGCCTTTAGTCGCCCCGCTACCTTTCTCACCTCTAACGTCTGTGATGCTGACTGCGATAGCTGGGTCTCGTCGTCTTTGCGCTGGTGTTGTTCCAGTACGAGCTTCTTTGACGGTCCTTGAATTTCAGGGACCTTAGAGGGCCTCCCAATTTTCGAGCCTGTTGTGAGTGGCCTTTTGATCTCATTGGCAGGCTTTTCTTGTTTCCCCAGTTCGATGATTTTAGCGGTTTTTGTTATGAGAGTGAGGAGTGAGATCTTCCACTACCTTCTCTAGAGATTTTGTATGTTTGAGGCGCTTGAATAGTTCGTTGCCGAAAAGATCCGCCGTTATCTCCGACTTCTTCAGTAGCTCTCTATATTTCTCATCGACGCCTGACAGAATGAAGGCTCTTCTCATTGTTGAATGTTGATGGTGTAAGCCCGCCATCAATTTCCCCGCATTTCCCAGAAATTCTAAAAGCATACTCGTGGTCTCATCTTCCTGAAGTTCTAGGAGTAGGGAGATACCCTTAGCCATCGCTATCATCGCTGAGCCTAGTGTATTCTGGGAGGAAACGAAGTGTTTATCCCTAGATTTTGCCGATGTCGACATGTACGCCAGAATTTCTGGATTGAGCTTTGGGGCTTCGACCTATAGCGCCCCCTTTCTAGGGAATTTTCCCATTATTTGTTCGCGCACTTTATTCTCCTCCTCTTCGCGTTTCTTCTCATCGTCCTCTTCTCCCCCGTACAAACCTCTACGCACCCAGTTTCCCCATTCTTCTACTAATACTGGGTGTAGCGTGACGTCAGTTGATGTAGATGGCTCTGCTCTCAGACAAAGCCTCTCTCTCATCTCGTTGCTGAGGCCCGCCGCTTCTACTGCCCTTGTATCCTCCTCCTTCCTGTCTTCCTCGTCCGAGTTCGAGGCTCCGCTCGTCGAGGAGGCATCTGAATCTCGATCCTCTTCTTCCGAGTTTTCCTCCGACAGGGTTTCCGTGTCTCCGGTCGGTGCATCTACGGCACCCAAACTTATATGAGTATAAGTCGACTCGCTTATATGTGCGATCTGTCCTCCCTCGAGTGAAGGCTCATCGCCGCGAGATTTTTCGTGCGATATGTCCTCCCTCTAGTGAAGGCTCATCGCCGAGAGATTTTTTGCGATATGTCCTCCCTCTAGTAAAGGCTCATCGCCATAGCTTACCGTTTTCCTTGTCGTCAACCGTTGATTTCGATCCCGAGGCGGCCATGACAGTCTGCTCTTCCGTCGTTTTCTCTGTTCCCGATTTCCTCAACTTTTTCAGTTTTTTACGCAGATTCCTCATCCGCTCATCCAACGCATCTAATTCCGCCTCCTCTGGTCCTCTTTTTGACATCGTCGCTGCAAAACACTAACACTTTCTCTATCTCTACACTACCTCTGAGATGTGACTCCTTCGAGCACAAAAAACGTTATGAGGTAGGGAAGCGCAGAATAGATGGGAGAAGAAAAATTGGTTACCTCTGAAAACTGTGGCGCCACGTGGGCGTGGAAGACGGTACTACATGTTATACTCGTTGAGAACGAGACCTAAAATATAACTTATAATAGTAATTTTACTTATTTCCTCATAATAAATAATTTTTATTTAATAATTTGCATTTATTTCAGACCGTTATAATGAATTTTTGCCGGAAATTGTACAAGATGAATTGAACGAGTATGTCAAAATAATTATTAATATAACTAATATATTGTTACAATATATTGGCAATACGCTTATGAATTCATTGAGCACTTCCAATCATTTCTTACATGATACACTACTTATAGACACTGCAAAAAATTTCATACGGTAAAATATAGAAAATATTGTATTTAAAATTTTGTTCAAATATTAATTTAATTTGCATAAATTATAAGTTACATTTTTATTTAGTAACAACTAATTTATGTAACGATTTTAGTGTTATTTCATTACATTTAACAGAAAGAAGAATTCTGGATATATGTTGTAATAACAATAATTCATCCAAATTCAACACACGCAGCTGTATTATAGCATCTGCCAGTTATGTATCGGGATGTTGCTGATTTTCTAAATCTTTCTTTAA